AGTAATTGAAGCACACAAAAGGAGCCTTGTAAGTGCTAGCCATAATCATCACATTTTAAAATTTACCAAACTCTACCTTCATGTTATTCTCTATCCTGTTGTTTCTTTCTTCTACTTTGTAATGAATATTTGGCCTACTTTAAATTTCCGTTAAAATGGGAATTTTATAGTAATTCTACTTTGTCTTTAGATTGGACTTTATCATTCAAATTTTCTATCTACTTTCTCTAAATGGAAATTGCCTATGTAGCACACACAGAAAAACCTTAGTCTGTGGCTATGAAAACGTGAGGAATCCTTGAAGAGGGAGTGGAACCTGTCCCTGGTCAGATAAATTATTTGATACTAGTTGCATATTAGAACCACCTGGGAAACTTTTAAAACTATTGGTGTCTGGGGCACTCCCTAAAACAATTAAATCAGTATCTAGATTGTGGTTGTAGGGTGAATCTGGGCAATGATTCTTTTTGAAAGTTTTGCAGATAACTGAAATGTTCTCAAGGTAGAAACAAGTAGGTAAAGATGAACTGATTAAATCTTTTAGTCAACAGAACTGCTTTGGGCAATAGAATTGTTTCCTGGTTTCCATGGGGGAATTGGCTTCAGGACCTTCCATGGAAATCAAAATCTGTGGTTGTTCAAGTTCCTTATATAAAATTATGTGGTATTTGCATGTAACCTATGGACATCCACTTGTCTACTTTAAATCATCTGTAGATTACTTATAATACCCAATACTATGCTTACACAATGTTTCATTCATGTGGATCCAAGGTGTACTTGGCACATGTGAAATTCAAGTTTTGCTCTTTGGAACTTTGTAGGATTTTAAAAAATATTTTTGATCTGTGATTTGTTAATCCCATGGATGTTGAAGTTATAAATCAGGAGGATAGACTGTAGCATGCTTGGTGCTGCCTGAAAACAGATGAATGGAAGTTTTGTGATATGGGATGCTCTGATTAATTTGAAATTTGAATATAGATACACTGGCTCACATTTAGCATTTTCTTTATTTTAGGCACTGTACTAATAGCTTTATATTCATTATCTCACATTAACTTTAAAGCAAATATATGATGGGTATTACCTTGGTTTCGATTTACATATGGATATAAATGCACAACGAAGTTAAGTAAAATATACAAGAACATGCTGCTAGTAAGAGCAAAATAATATCTCATTCATAGGCCTTGCTCTCAACTCTTAATACAGAAATTATGTCAATATAGACTAGAAAAACCCGGTTTCTCTTAGCTGTCTCCAAAAGATACAAAAGGTGCAATAATTGTGGAAAAAGTGGAATCCACAAAGTTTAGACTCCGTCTACTGGAGTCATAGTATTTTTCTATTTTTGTTTTTAAATAAAAAGACCAAGGTTATGGAGACATCCTCTTTTCTGAAATTTTTTACTACTTAATTTTCTATAGCCATGGATTTTATTGGAGAAGAAGCATGTTTCAGAAACTTTATATTTTTTAATGTATTGTTTCTACAATTTAAAAATATATATAACCCTGAGATGTTTTCATTCACATTACAATGTGTGTGTCTCTGTAAACCCTCATGTATTTAATGTATAATTGTGGCATGTTTTATTTTATTTTTATGAAAATTATTTCATGTATACTTTCCTAGTTATCTTAATGCCTATATGTGATAGTCCATACATTTTGTGCTATAATTTACTTAATATATTTCTCTTGGTTTGTATAATCTCCAAAGTTTCTGTTGTTATTCATTGCTAGTTTTATTTCACTGTGGCCAGAGAATATACTTGATATTATTTAGATATTTTAGAATTTGTTGAGATTTTTTATTTTTTATTTTTTGCTTAACATATGGTCTATTCTCTAGAATATTCCATATGCTGAGATGAGGAGAAAAATGAGTATTCTTTTGTGTTGGATGAACTGTTTTAAAAATGTCCATTAGGTCTGTTTTGTCTATAGTGCAGATTAAGTCCAATTTTCGGTTTGGAATATCAGTGCAATGCTGAATATGGGGTGTTGAAATCTTCAAGTATTATTGTATTGGGCTTTATTGTGCTCTTTAGCTATAATAATATTTGCTTTACGTATCTGGATATGCCAATATTGTGTGCATAAAATTTTACTGTTTTTATATCCTTCTGTGGAATTGACCATTTTCTCACTATGCAATGACATCTCTTTTTAAAGTTTTTTACTTGAAATCTATTTTATCTGACTTGAGTGTAGTTACTCCTGCCCATTTTTTTATTTCCGCTTGTATGGAATATTTTTATAGACCTTCATTTTCAATATATGTGTGTCTTTATAGGTAAAGTGAGTTTCTTGCAGGCAAAATATAGCTGAGTATTGTTTTTATCCATTCAGCCATTCTCTTTTATTTGAAGAATTTTGTCCATTTGAATTCAAAGTTATTGATGCTAGATTAGAAGCTTCTGCTGCCATATTTATACATTTTCTTTTTCTGGTTGTTTTGTAAGTCCTCTCTTCTTGTCTTCCTTTTTCCTTTCTTTTTTTGTGCATCAGTGATTTTCTTTTTCTTCTGGGTAGCATGTTTAAATTTCTTCCTTTTTTTCTTTTGCATCTCTATTATAAGTTTTTGCTTTGTGTTTTCCATGAAGCATACAAAAAATTCTTATGACAAATTATTTTGAACTGATGACAGCTTAACTCTGATTACAAAGAAAAAAAGGCAAATGAAAACTAAAAAAAAAAAAGACTACATTTTATCTCTCCTACGTTTTAACTTTTTGTTGTCTGTATATTTTTTCATTGTTTATATCTCAAAAATAGTGTACTTATCATCATTTTGATAGTTTTGCCTTTAGGTTCTTATACTAAATATGAGTGAATTATACTCACATTATAGTACAAAAGAATTCTGAATTCGTTTTTGTGTTTATTTTTACCAGTGAGTTTTATACCTTCAGATGATTTCATGTTGCATGTTAGCGACCTTTTTGTTTTCAGGTTTAGAAATTCCTTCAACATTTCTTAAAGACTCATCTGTCAATAATGAGTTTTCTCAACTTTGTTTGTCTGGGAAAGTCTTTATTTTTCCTTCATGGTAAAGGATAACTTGCTAGAAAAAGTACTGTAGACTGAAAGTTCCTTCCATGGAAATGAGTGGAATTTTGCTCAATGTTACAGGATGGCCTTGAGTTCCAAAACAGTGTAACACATTCAGTTCACTCTCTCTCCCCTAAGCACGTAGATTTTCTCTTTTGGCTGCACTGGTGTAGTTTGCAAGACTGTTCTTAGCTTGTTCAACACGTCTTTTCTTCTTGTTATTCTGAACCCAGATTCTAGGATCTCTTACCTGATTTTTAGTTTCTCATAAAGATGCTTTCTTACATGGATAGTTGTTCAATTCATTATTCCTGTGGGAGGATGATCACTGGAGGGTTTTATTCAGCCACTTTACTTTGCCTGTCTGAAGCCAAGTCTCCTTGGTCAGGTGTAATAGAGCAGTTAATTCAGTAGTTCCTTGAAAGTTGAAGGCTATTTACACACTTTCATTTTATGAGATTGTTATTAGTTGCATGCTTTTCATTATAAAAGCTATAAATAGAAAACAAATAATATATATTATTAATAATAAAATATTTCAATATATGTTTTAGCCAAATATCTGTTTAAAAATACATTATATGAATACTTCTCCATGTTATGAAATATACAGACATTAAACAAATTCCCATCATATATGAATAGTTTTCTTCATCTAGGTCTTAATCTTTGTCATTGCTTACTGCAATGCGTTTAATGGGTTTTGTTTGTATTATGTATACATTATTTTCATTTAACATCACTTTCATAATTGCTTTTTTTTTTGAGTTGGAGTCTCACTCTGTCGCCCAGACTGGAGTGCAGTGGCTGCTCCTGGCCACCGCAGCCTCGACCTGCTGGGCTCCGGGGATCCTTCCGCCTCAGCCTTCCAAGTAGCTGGAACTACAGGCGCACGCTACCACGCCCGGCTAATTTTTTGATTTGTCGTAGAGATGAGGTCTCGCCAAGTTGCCCAGGTGGGTCTCAAACCCACGGGCTCAGGCAATCCACTCACCTCAGCCTCCCAAAACACGGGATTACAGGCTGAGCCACCGAGCCCGGCGTATAACTGCTTTTAATAACTGTTTTTATATTTATTATTTTATGTCTTTTAGTTCAGTTTGGGGTGTTTTTTTTGTAGATTCTTGATTAGTATACTTATCTGATTTCCTTAATTTCTCTATTTTTTACTCTTAACAGTGATAAATTCTCTTTTTCTTTCAATTTAGGGGAAAGTAGTTTTTTTCCATTTAGTGACAGTTCTATTTTTATCTTTTTTTCTTATCAGCACTTAGTTTCTCTTTTTGGCATACTATGAGTATCTGTTCATAGCAGTCTTTTATAGAACTATTTAATACTTTAACAAATACACTAGAATATGACGCAAACATTCTCAGACTTGAGAGTAGTAAAAAGAAAGATAAATTTACTTTTTTTTCCCTCTCTATTAGGATGAGGAAATTTTTCATTTTAAACCCTTCTCACACATTGTAGGTTGTTCATGGAAGCAGAAAATTTATTACTAAATGAACTTGAGCATTTCTTAAAATAAATGTAAGAAGTTTAATTCTTTCAAACTGAGAGCATTGACCTGAATAATCTAAAATTGGAATGAAAATCACTTGACATGGAAATTTTGGTTCTATTTAGTGTTTTGACATACAATGTTGAAAGTTTATATTCTCTCAGTACACATTATATTTTGTGTGGCAGTGGAAACCCAACATGAGATTTTAAATATTCCAAAGAGAGCCCGTTAAATGAATAATTTTATATATATAGATATCTAGTGTATAATATAGCCATGGTGTTATACTTTGATCAAATAATCTATTTAGAATAACATCTACGTATAAAGCCAATCATATTGTGTAAACCAAGAAAGTTCTTTTAAATCATTCAAAGCAGCCAGGCTCGGTGGCTCAGCCTGTAATCCCAGCACTTTGGAAAGTAGAGATACCTTATTAAGTTGACATACCATGGGCATCAATAAGTAACCCTACAGAAAAAGAGTTAATATAAAACAATACGAAAGTATTACAGACAATTATAGCTTATCAATATTATTTTCATTCCATTACTGGTATCTTCTCATGTAGTCACCTTTATTCGGGAAATGATTTCATTTACAAAACTATTATTCTTTGCCATCACTTCAGCCTTCAGCTGTTTTAACTTTACTGTGATGTTTTCTTCTGACATCTCAGTAAAGGGCACTTGTTTCACCTTGGATAGAAACTCCTGGATGATTTTTTCACCTTGCTCTCTCTCCAGATAGCACTTCTTCGCTGCTGGTTCTGTCTCATCATAGCTTTGTGATTCTCCAATATGCTGGAACTCCTCAAGCTCCAGGGCTTTTTAATTAGCCAGCTCTGCAACATGAATCCCAGAACTCTGATCACAGACACCTTTCTTCACCTGATAAGGCATAGTTAAGGTCTCTTCAGTGATTAGTGTTGTAACATATAGATTATTAACCGTTGGTATCTGATTGGCCAAGGCAGTAAGTTCATGAAAATGGGTTGCAAACATGCAAAAAGCACCAATCTTTTTTGCAATGTAATCTGATATAGCCCATGCTAGCCCAAATCCATTGTAGGTAGAAATTCCTCTTCCCAATTCATCTATGATTATTAATGAATCTTTAGTTGCAGACCTGAGGAAGGAAGCAGTTTCCAACATCTCAGCCATGAATGTGGAGACTCCTTTCAACTGACTGTCCCCAGCCCCTACCCGGGCCAAGACGCAGTCCACAATGGACACTTCGGCCACTCAAATGGCAGAAAACACCCAATCTGGGCCATGAGTACTATCACCCCAGTTTGGCAAATGTATGTTGATTTACCTCCCATATTGGGGCCAGTGATGATGTGGAACATCTGTTTATCTTTTTCAAAGTACACATCATTAGGAATAAATGCAGCTTCATCTTGAACTTCAACACAAGCATGTCTGGATGCTTTCAATATAATTCTTCCTTGTCCTTTCTCCAAAATGACTTGTCACATATATGGAATAGGTGCTCCATTTGATACATGAGCAAAGTTGACAACAGCATCTAGCTGAGTTAACACATCATTGAGTGTTTGCATGGGTTCCACGTAGCCTGAAGAGATATTAATAATTTCTTTAACAATGGCATCCTGGGCTTCCTCATACTCGGTTTTATTCTTGGTATATTCTTCATTTAAGGAAGTCAATTTGCTGTTGGTAAATTTAACACCATTCTTCTGGATGTCTACTGTACTAAAGTTTTTATTGTTACTAAGAACTTTTTCTTCCTTACAGGTTACACGAAAGTAATATCCAAACTGTGCACTGGAATCCAATTTAATCTGTTTGCCAGGGTCCAAGCCAAGTTCTCTGGCTGCACTTAGCAAAGTTGATTGCAGATAGATGCCTTTTAAAAGAACTGTCTATAGCTTAATTCCCATGAAACTACTAGAGACAAAGTCACCAAACTTTTTTTTTTGATGGAGTGGGTCAGACTTTGCCACAGCTTACTTTAATATATTTATCAAACCTACTCCCTTCCTCAAGACCACTTCCCTTAATGTTTATTTGCACAAACTTTTATTTTTCACCACTTCTAACTTTGTTTAAATTTTTGGTTCAACTTTTGACATTTCAAGAGTGGTGTTTAGGACCTTAAATCAAATGTTATAGAATATTTCCTCCTTTGGCTTACAAGTTTTTGACAATGAAGTATATCATTTAGATGCTTTCTTTTCATTAAAAATATGGAGTTTTGAAAGCTATTGAATAATTCTAGATCTATAAGTAGAATACTTATTTATTTCAGCCTAGATAGAAACCATTTGTTTTTCAAAATGTTCAACATTTCTCCAAAATTGCATTTGATGTGATGGTTAGCTCTTTCTATAATGTATTACTTGAGATTTGAGATACGAGAAACTGATGCTTAGTCCTTTAAAAAGTGATGTAAGATATTATGATTTAACTTAATAAAAATGACTCTTAAGCTAACTCAAAAATGTTGTAGAATTCTTACTTGCTTAAAATGATAGGCCTAGGGTGAAAAAAAGAAAAACTTAACACTGTGCATATGTTTACTTGTATTCTAATACATAAAAAGCATTTATTTAGTACAATACAGTAGATTATAGGTTGCATTAAGAAATTTTAAGAAGGCATTTCATTTTCATTCTGATATCTATGGATTATTTAAAAAGCAAAATCAAGTTAAATGCCAATTTGTATATGTACTTTGCTTTCCATTGCTCAAATAGTGCACAAAAGCTAATTAGGGATGGTGAAGAAGTTAATTATATATTAGAAATGCCTACAGCAGGTACAGGAGAGCTTCAGCATAAATATTCTCTGTAATTACTTCATAAACATATTGAAAATCCTCCTTAATATTTAAGATGAAATGCCTTTCTCTCAGAGGTTCATTCTGATATATCACAGTACATGGATGCAAATATTTGCTTTATATGTAAAATTATATTTTACATATAATTTTATATATACCTTTTAATCTTGGTTTTTCTTTATACACCAATCTATTGATTTTATAATAATCACAATCTTTATTTTTAGGCTTTAAAGGAAGTATATACACATTTAGTTGTACATTTTAGTGAATAGCCTATTTTATCAGGCAATTTGTGATTTTCAATTTCCTGCTGAACATTTCCATAGAAGATCCACTACTCTAATTAATTGGTTAAAAAATGGAAATCAGTAATGTTATTACTTAAAAAATATTTTTTCTCTACCCCTATCTTGGTTAATGTTACTACTACCCTTTTAGGCTCAATTTAAATGGTGCCTTTGATTCCTTCTTTTTTTCAACCCTTACATTCTGTCTTAAGATGGTTCTGGCATTGTACTGTCTATGTTATCACCCTTCTTGGAATTCATTGCCCTTTAGTTTATACTTCCATGATCTCTCCTATCTTCTGCTGTTGTGTGTTACAGATTACCTGATATTGTAGAGGTTCTCATTAAACATATGTTGAATTAATTCATGAATGCCCTTGCTAGATAGATAATTTTTACATTTGTAATCTTCCTTTATATTTCCTTTATAGGAAGAGAAAAAAGACATAATTTTCTTTCTGAAGTCATATAAAAGGTTTTATAACCATTTCTAAAATTTTAATTCCTGCAAGTTATCTACAAAATAAATTAAAAACTCCTTTATAAAACTTCCAGGTCCTTTCATGCTAAAATATTCTTCATATTCTACTTTGTCTTTACTTATCTTTTTTGTATTTCCTGTTTTAGTTAATAACACTAACATGTTCATGTCAGCCAAGCTCTATGCACTATTTAAAAAATATGGCTAATATTTATGGGTTTGCCTATGCCAGGCACATTGCTATTACCTTAGTCTAAATGTTTTTCATTTAATCCTAAGCATTTAATAAAGTATGTACTATTACTATACCCATTTTACAGATGAGTAAACCAAGAACAGGCCAACATGCCAAATGAAAGTTTAAGTAAGCCACTGCTGAAACCAGAACTTAGAAACGAACTATCTGATTTTAGCAGTGGTCCAAGCCCTGTGTTTTTATATCATTTTTTCCAATTTTAACATAAAATTTACTATCTCAACCATTTTTATGTGTATAGTTCAGTAGTATTGAATACATTCATAATGTTGTACAACCATCACCACCGACTTTCTCTGTTACTCTTTTAATCTTGTAAAACTGAAATCCTGCATCCATTGAGAGTAGATTCCCATTCTCCCCTCCCTCATGCCCTTGAACAACACCATTCTACTTTCTGTCTCTGTGATTTCAAATACTTCAAGTACTTCATGTAAGTAAGTGGAATCACAGTGTTTGTCTTTTTGCAATTGGCTTATTTCATTTAGCACGTTGTATACAAGGTTCATTTATGTTGCAGCATATATCAAAATTTCCTTCCCTTTTATTTTGTATTTATGTATTTATTTTTTTGTTTTAACTCTTAATAGAAATCAATTTATTCTATTTATTTATTTTTATTTTAAAGATGTAGGGTAAAATTCAGGATTAAGTAGATAAGCGGTCACTGTACAGGTAAAGTTTGGACCTTCCCTTGGTCCCTACTTTGCCTGGTTTGATTCAGGTACCCTTATTGATGTTACGAGCCCCTCCCTTCCCTGGCAGTGTCCTGCTGCTGCCAATCCCTTTCTTACAGTATTATGGTAAATGTTCAGGATCTGCTTATGAGTGAGAATATGTGGTACTCAGTTCTTTGTTTCTGTGATAGATCACTGAGTATAATAGACTCTAAATCCATCTAAGTTGCCACAAAGTCCATATGTTTGTCCTTCTTTATGGCTGTAAATATTCCACCATGTATATGTACCATACTTTTTAATCAGTCTATTTTTGATGGTCAGCATAGTTGGTTCCATGTTTTTGCTATTGTGAGTAGTGCTGCAATAAACATGCATGTGCAGGTATCTTTTTTTGTAGAATGATTTGAGTTCTTCAGGTATATTCTCAGTAGGGGAATTGCTGGGTCATATGGAAGATCACTTTCTAGTCCTTTTAGAAATTGCCACACTGTTTTCCATAGAGGTTGAACTACTTTGCATTCCCACCAGCAGTGTAAACCTGTCCCCTTTTCTCTGCATCCTTGCCAGCAATCTTTTGTTTTTTGTTTTATTAATGATGGTCATTCTTACTGGGGTTAGGTGGTATCTAAATGTGGTTTTGATTTACATTTCTCTGATGACTAGTGAGGCTGAGCACTTTTTCATGTGTCTGTTGGCTGCCCGTATGTCTTTCTGTGAGAAGTGTCTTTTGCCCATTTTTTAATGGGGCTGTCCCCCCCCCCCTTCCTGCAAGTTGAGTTTCTTGTAGATCCTGGATGTTAGGCCTTTGTCCGATATACAGTTGGCAAATATTTTGTCCTTTCTTTGGGCTGTCTCCCCACTATCCTGATAGTTTCTTTTGATTTGCAGAAGCTTTTCAGTTTAATGAAGTCCCGCTTGTCTATCTCATCTCTTATTGCATGCACATCTGGGATTTGATCAGGAATTGGTTGCCTACTTCGATTCCCATGGGTGTCTCCTGTGTTTTCTAAGATTATTATAGTTTGAGGTTTTTTGATTTAAGTGTTTGATCCATTTAGAGTCGATTTTTGTGTTATAGTGATAGGGGTCCTGTTTAATCTTCTGCATGTGGTCAGTCAGTTTTCCAAGAGCCATTTACTGAATAGATTCTCCTCTATCCAGTGATTGTTGATAGAAGCTTTGTCAAAGATGAGTTGGTTGAGAAATTGAGGTTTTGCTTCTGGAATCTCTATCCTGTTCCATTGGTCTATATGCCTGTTCTTGTATTGTAGCCTTAAAGTTTAAAGTTAGGAAGTATGATACCTCCCACTTTGTTTCTTTTGCTGATGTTATGACTGGATTGCAAGAAGGAGACACGCCAGCATGCCAAGTCCAAATTAATATTAAGAGTCTTTATTAGCATGCAATCAAGAGCACACTCTTGCCATGAAGCTCTTGATGCAGAATATAATTGGCAAAAAGCTTATATAGGTAAAATCTATAGGTTGGCTACATAGCAAGGGGGTGGAGGGAACAAGGAACTAAAAACAAAAAGTAACAAAATATAAGAACAAGCTATAAGGATGTGGCAGGGGAAATTTTGTAAGTAATAATTTCTTAACAATTCCTTGGTGCAACATCTGATTCAGTTAACAAAGCATACAATTACACGGAACTTGTAGCTAGGGAGTTTTGCAAACGGTCAGTATGAACAGCTCAGGGGACAAAGCTGTGGGTCTGTAGTCATGGCAACGTTACAGTAATCGCATGTGTACACTGGGATGTTAGGCAGGCAGCTAAGATGGAGGATTTTAGAAAACTGGAGTTACTTATGTAAAGTAAGTTATTGCAATTACTTTGCATATTTCAGTGGCTATTTCAGAGAATTATTTTGACTATCCATGGTCATTTATGTTTCCATATACATTTCTGTATTGTCATTTCCAGTCCCAAGAAGAATGATGTTGGTAATTTAATGGATATTGTGTTGGATCTGTAGATTGCCTTTGGTAGGATGGCCATCTTAACAGTGCTGGTTCTTCCAGTCCGTGAACGTGGAATATTTTTCCATTTGTTTGTGTCTTCTTTGATTTCTTTGAACAGTGTTTTATAGTTTTTATTGTGTAGGTCTTTCACTTCTCTGGTTAGGAAGATGCTGAGGTATTTCTGTTTTGTGTGTAGCTATTGTGAATGGAATTGTACTTTTTATTTTATTTTTATTTATTTATTTATTTATTTATTGAGTTGGAGTCTCACTCTATCGCCCAGACTGGAGTGCAGTGGCCGCTCCTGGCCACCGCAGCCTCGACCTGCTGGGCTCCGGTGATCTTTTTGCCTCAGCCTTCCAAGTAGCTGGAACTACAGGTGTGCCCGACCAT